ACCATTGGCTTTTTTCCTCTGAACTCGAATTTGCCTTCCAGAAATTGGGAGTAAGTATCTCACCATTTACTAGTTTGGCTGTTCAGGGTTATATTTTCCTACAGTTTCCTTCATCTGTATAATCTTGATGGCTCCTTATTTGTTGACCAGTATTAAGGCTAGAATAGCAGTTCCTTGATTGCTTCCTCAATTTTTGTGTGCAAGAAAGGAATTTTTTTTTATTTACACATATTTATGTTTTAACACACATTTGTTATATGTTACACATTAATTATATGTTAATATAGTAATGCATGTGTAGTTAATGTGTGAATTTATGCTTTAACATATATAAATGTATTTATAGCTACATCATACATGCTCTATTAAATCAACACATGATCACTTAAGTATTCAGAGACACTAACATACACACTAATATGTTTACATTCACACACATGTACAAAATATACAGACTAAGATGTACATATTGGCCTATATAGTAGGCATATAAAATGGGCACTGATGTCAACACATTATTACACATGCTTACACATAGTCACACATGTGCACTGACATACATATATGCACACAGGCACATTTTCACACACTAACAATACAGACTAATGCATTCTCACACCTACTGAAATGTTCACTGACTTAAATTGCTACACTGGGGCCTTCGACTCCCCAAGCAAATATCCTAGCACTCAGAGGGCAGTCTTCTCCCCTGATGGCCAATGTTCCATAGATGACCTTTCCTATAATGTCAAACGACTCTTCTCTGGTAATCCTGATGGCCCGTAAGGAAATCAAGAAGTTAGAAGGTGGAAGCAAATGCCTTCATGATTCTGTCTATCCATTACCTGCAGACAAAGGGAAAAACAGCCCCTGCAGTGCTGTAAGCAAGATCACTTCTGAAATGGCCCATGATGCTGTGGAAGTCACCTCTGCAGAAATGAGGGGCCCTGGGTAAGACAGTGGGGAAGGTGAGCAGAAAATATTTCTGTATAGTGAATTATCCAACAAGAGCAAGGGTGGAGAAAAACAGTTGTGTCAAAGAGATAGCAAAGAATTTGCAGAATCTATCAGCAAAGGGCTCCTGGTTTATGCAAATCAAGTGACATCTGACATCATGGTCTCTGTTATGACGACCTTGAAAGTGCAGAGTTCCGGGAAGCCAGTTCCAGCCTGTGCGGGCCTGAAGACAGTGCTGTTAGAACACACAAAGGAAATTGTGTCTGATTTGATTGATTCCTGCATGAAGAACTTTCAGTGCTTCAGGGGCCCTGATGACTGACTCAGATCTTGTCTCAGAGGTCAAGAGAAATCTGTTCAACACTGGGAAACAAAATACTGCAAATATCATGGAGGCCATGCTGAGGCGTCTGGTCAGGGCTCTCCTTGGTGAGAAAAGGAGACTAAATCCAGAGTTTTTCATATGCCTCTTTGACAGTTGGGTCCCACAATCCCAAATGCAAGAATCAAAGTCTTGAATTCTCAGCCATGAAAGCTGTAATGAAGGGAAAGGACAAAAGCAAGGTAAAAACAGCAGTGCAAGTCATTGACCAGTGCTGAAAAAGTCAGCAAACATATCCTCAAGGAGAGTCTGATCATGTGGAACCGAAAGCCAGGAAACCAGGGAAAGGTGATTAGCAAAGCACATGCCAATAAAGAGAAAAAAAGAGATAAGCTCAGCCCTTCCACAGACTCGCTGGCAAAGGACTTGATTGTCCCCACCCTTAAGATGATCCAGTACCAACTGACCCAGCAGGCCAAGGGCGAAGATGCATTTGAAGAAGACTGTTCTGGAACTTCCCTGGGCTATATGCGTCATAGTGCCCAATACGAAAAGTGTGGAGGTGGTCAGAGTGCCAAGGCACGTTCAGTGAAACATCTAGAATCTCCTGGAGCTCCTGGGCCTTCCACCTCTCTACAGGAGGATCAACAGGCGGACTCTCAGAAGCTGGATATGTCAAACATTGTTCTAATGCTGATTCAGAAAATGCTTAGTGATGGCCCCTTCAACTGTGACAAACTATCTGAAGGTGACAACAAGCATTCTAAGCCCAGAACAAACAAAGCAGCCTCCATGTCCAAGAGGCCTGACAAGGGGGAAGACAATCCTAGGACATGCTTGAATTTTACTTTATCAGTGGGCTAAAGCAAATGAATTGGCAATTTATAGAACAACAGGTAGAATCTGTGATGAAACTGTGCCTTGTCATGGCGAAGAATAGCAACAATGAGGAAGCCCTTGTGAATTGGAAGAAGCAGCAGCATTGGCAACCAACCACATTGCCAGGTCGGTGGTCCCAGATGTAGTCACGATGTTGCGATGCCACAGAACCATCAAGACTCCCTTGGGCCTGAAGTCATCATCAGTAATCAGTGCTCAGCAAATAGCGCCAAGCTGTCCTGCAGTGGACGGCAGCCTCCCGGTTTAATGTGCCCATGCTCTACTTTATGGGAGATAAGGATGGACAACTTTGGCATTTTGATCTATGTTATTAGAGGAAGGTAGAGGTAAAAGGAAAGCCATGTCAGCAGCTTCCAGTCTTGATATGTGGCAGGCTTTACTCTGATCCTAATATCACGGGTGGGAAGGTAGCTGGGAGATAGTTCACTTCATCCACCTGGGTCCCTTCTCCAAAAGCATCATGTGACTCAAGATCACTCCTCTCTCCACAGCTTCCTGAAGTTTCAGCTAAGGCAGCAGAGAAGGGGTACAGTGTAGATCTTCTTCAAGATGTCGTGAAGTCTGCCTGGAGGGACCCTGGACACAGAGAACAGCAGCTGTTTGCAGAAGTGGATTGAGCAGAAGAACTTTTGTGAGTTGACTGAAGACAGATGAAGTTGTTCCCTTTGAGACTATGAGCTGCTGCTGGGAGGAGATGAGGGAGGCGGCAAGGACTTTGTGGGAAGCAGGGCAAGTGGCGACGGCAAGTGGCAGGCAACAAGAGGTGAGCAGCAGGCGGCAAGCGGTGAGTGGCAAGAGACAAGCGGCAGGCGGTAAGAGGCGAGCAGCAAGAGGCAGAAGGCAGAAGGCAGAAGGCAGGCAGTGAGTGGCAGGCAGCAAGAGGCGAGTGGCAGGCGGCAGGAGGCAGGCGCTATGTGGCAAGCAGCAGGGGGCAAGAGGTGAGCGGCAGGTGGCAGGTGGCAGGCTGCGAGCGGCAAGAGGCAAGCGGCAGGAGGTGAGCAGCAGGCAGCAGGGGGCAGGCTGTGAGCGGTAGGCAGAAAAGAGGTGAGCAGCACGAGGCAGGCGGCAGGCAGCGAGTGGCAGGTGGCAGGCGGCAAGCAGCAAGAGGCGAGTGGCAGGCAGCAGGAGGCAGGCGGCAAGCGGCAAGCAGCCAGTGGCAAGCAGCGGGCGACGAGCGGCAGGTGGCAGGCAGTGAGCAGCAAGAGGTGAGCGGCAGGTGGTAAGAGGTGAGCGGCGGGGGAAAGGCGGCGAGTGGCAAGCGGCGGGCGGCAAGTGGCAGGTGGCAGGAGGTGAGCAGCAAGAGGTGAGCGGCAACAGGCAGGAGGCAGGTGGCGGGCGGTGAGTGGCAGGCGGCAAGTGGCAAGAGGTAAGCGGCAGGTGGTGAGAGGTGAGCGGCAGGCAGCAAGAGGTGAGCGGCAGGAGCAGGTGGCGCGCAGCGAGTGGCAGGCAGGGGGCAGTGAGTGGCAGGTGGCAGGTGGTGAGCGGCAAGAGGCGAGCAGCAATAGGCAGGAGGCAGGTGGCAGGTGGTAAGTGGCAGGTGGCGAGTGACAAAAGGCGAGCAGCAGGTGGTGAGTGGTGAGAGGTGAGCAGCGGGCGGCAAGAGGTGAGCGGCAGGCCGCAGGGGGCGGTGAGAGGCGAGCAGCAGGGGGCAGGCAGCAGGCAGCAAGCGGCGAGAGACAAGGAGCGGCGGGCCCAGGAGGAGCACCTCAGAGGTGGGTGACGTGGGGCGCAGTCAGTTGTCGGCGGCGGGGATGCAGGCCGCGGAGCTCCCGAGGCAGGTAGAGGCAGGGGCGGGCGGTGGCCGCGGAGGACACCGTCGGTGGGTGCGGGCGGGTGGCGTGTGTCCTTGGCTGGCAGCTGCCAGGCGGCGGGTGCCCCCGGTAGGCGGTGGGCTGCAGGCAGCTGCGCCTTGGCGGAGGGCGACACTGGCCAGAGGCAGCGCGCACTGGTGGCAGTTAGTCGGCAGTGGGTGCTGCGGAGAGGCGGTGAGGAGGGCGGCAGGTAGCCACGCCACAAGAAAGGAATTTAAAGAGGTTCTGCTTTCAGGAAAAACAAGATTTACAATAGATTTCTGGATAATTGACAACAATTTCCCATCACATCCACATTCTCTCTGCTGTGTTAGGACAGCAGCACCATTCTCAGGTTTCTCTTTTCTTTAGCTGCCCTTAAATTGTCCCCTTTGGGCTTCCATCCTTGAGTTCATGGATAACTAAAATTTGCCGTGTCCACTAGGTCTAGCAAATTTGCAAAAGTACACCGTTCTGTGGCCACTTTGCAGTTGCCAGACACTGTCCACAAAGTCTCTGGAAAATCCTTAAAATTTGCATTCTTATATAGAAAATTCCAGTTTGTTACTTAAACTCTGGTACAACTACTGAACTGTATTATGTATGCCCTCTTCTTAGCCATTTTCCTCTAAGGTCTTTCTTTGTTCCTCCTAATAGTCTTCATAGAGTGCAATTTAGTATTTTTAGAGAGATGTCTCCTCATTCTTCAAATACTAGCAAAAAAATCCCTTTGTTCACATAAATGGGTATCCTTTCTGTCACCTTCTTCCTGGTTCTTGTTAGACTTACTATAACTTTGGCCAGAATGTCATCCTTGTTGATAATAAGCCAGAATGTTAAATCCTGCAGGATGTTTTATTTTGATTTTGCTTTAAGTGCATTTTATTAGGCATCTTTTCTCTTTGCACATTCTGAGGTGGGCTTGGAAGGAGGGTAGTGAAAAGGGCTAGGAGAAAACATGCAGCTGCAAGAAGTCTGTGAAATCTAGGATCGGTGGTGGTGGTTGGTGGTGGTAGGAGTTCAGATAGCATGGCCAGGGAAGGACTCACTGAGAAGGCCTCCTTCCAAATAGTGCAAATTGATGACATTTTTTCACATCTGTAAAAATGATTTTCTTTCATATTTTTTAAAGGTAGCTAATGGCAGCTGACTATTATTTGAATCTATTGAGGATGGTGGTACGGGCTTTGCTTGCAGCAAGAGAGATTGCAGTCTGAGAGAAAGGCGAATGGGATATAAGTGCAGATAGAACTACTCGTGGTGGGTTCCCTTGTACCCTGCTCTGATCTGACCTGACCCTAATTAAGAGTCCCTGGTGACTCTTGCAGTGTCCGCTGTAAGGGTGCTTCTAAGGATATATCCATCATGTTGCTCAGCGCCCCTTTTATGAAGACCCTTCAGGAAAAGCTTTTCCGAGTTTTATTGTCATCTTTTGTTCAATTATTCAACAGATACTCACTGAGGGTCCTATTAAGTGCCTGACTCCATCCTAGGAGAAAAAAACCAGACCTCTGTGTTCATGGACCTTAGCAATGGGGGAAATAAATATAAATAAATTATCAAATAAGTAAATTAAACATTTTTAGATTGCGATTAGGTGCTTTGAAAACAAAACAAAACAGGTGAAGCAATACCCTCTTAGGATAGAGGGCAAGGAGACAGCTTTCCATTGGGCAGAAACCTCTTCTTTGGGGATAGGACTCTGAGCTAAGAGCTGAAGGACAAGAGCAAGTTAGACATCAAAACTCCGAGGAGAGGGCGTTCCAGGAGAAGGAACACAGAGCAAAGATCTGGAGTCAGGAATGACCTGGTGCATTTAAGGAACAAAAAGGAGACCCGAGTGGCAACAGTGTGGTGAGGAAGCAGAGAGATGCTAGCTGCTGAAATCGAAGGGCCCAGAAGGACCCACAATCAGCTTTTCTAGGTGGCGGGAGAAGCTGCTAGAGCTTAGAAACACACCAGGGCTGCTCTGCCGTGTTTATCTTTCGGGCCCCATGGACTGGATATCTTAACCATTTCCCTTTCTCCTCCACTGCTCAAAAGCTTAGGGCCAGATTTGCAATTTTTGTTAAGTGCCTGGCAACCTGCATTTTTATTAACATCATTCCTGACCCATCTTGTGCTCAATTCTGTGTGTCATTTTTTTCTCTCTCTCTAACATGTCTTCTTGTACCTAGTCTGGGTTTCTGTTATCTTTGGGTAAGTCATTTCAGATCTTTTTTTGGATGAAGGTAGGTGTACAGTACATACATACACCAGCACTGGTGAAAGGATGAGGGCAGTGACGTCTCTTTCATGAAGCCTTTGGAAATAGGCTAGATATTTATCTGTCCAGCTAAATTCAGAGGCTGGCTCCTCTCTGACTTTCTGCTCCTTGGGTTTCAGCCTGTGGCTGTGGTTTGGCAGGGACTATGGTCTACTCTCGTTATTTGCAGAAGGGTAATCTCCATATTACGATGTATGTCAGCAAGTCCAAGAGCTCTTTTTCCGAGTACTGACGTGGGGAAATTATCTTCACTCCTTGGAACAAAAAGCCTACCCTACTGGGAACATTCAGCAGATGAATTTGAAAACTTGTTTCTCTGTGGTTTTTCCTGAGGATGTCAGGCAACCAGAAGGTACGATTGAAATGGTCTGTTGGATAAGAAATTCCTTGAAGCATTGTGGTCAAGAGGAGAGTAAAAAATTCCAGCCTCTTACTCTCCTGAGAGTCGGGACCTCACAAACAGCTGGTGTAAAGGTGGCTGCACAGATGAAGCGGAGAGGAGCAACAGGCAGCGAGAACTGGGCTCTTCAGACAGTTTCCTCTTCTCAATCCTCCTTTGGCCTGTGTTTGTGGTGTCCACCATTCTCCTCGTTAGCAGTCTCAGTTCTTCAATCATCCTTGGTGTCCCTCTCTGTCCACTCCACTGGTGGCCAAGTTCTATCTGCTCTTTCTTTTGAATCTGCATCTTGCTTTCTGTGCCCACAGATACTCTCTTACTCCGTGCTTTCAATAAAGATCTCCATACCTGTTGCCATAGATGCCTAATGTTTTTCTCCACCCCTAGCCTCATCTCCCTTTAACTAAATTCTTCTTAAAAGAGCCCCTTCCTCACAAGTCTTCCATGACTCCCTGTATCTACTGCCTTAAACTCAAACACCTTTGGCTTCCAACTCATCTTCCTCCATTCATTGCTCTTCCCAAAGTGATCCCAGATGCTTTTTCTGATCTCATCTACCACGACTCTGCTACACGTGTTCCTATACTCTAAGCAAACTGTCTTCCTTGCTATTTTAAAAACAACTAAATTTTCTAATCTCATGCTGTTACTCATCTTGTACTTTTTACCAGATATGCCTTCTTTCTATATCTATTATTTAAAAATATGCACAGGATTAATGGCATGTTTCCTGAGTCTCCCCAAATAAATGCAGTTTTCTGCTCCTCAGACCTCCCCCACACTTTACTATTTGCCTCTAGTGGAATTTTACACATTTTGCTCCACACTAATTATTTTTCTTATTGATAGTCCTGTTACAAGGGGCATAAAACTTTTGTTCTCCATAATCCTTAAAGGAGACCTTGCACAGGATAGGTACTCAGTAAATATTTATGGAACCCAAAGCATGTTCCTAACTATCCTATGGTGATTCTGCAGCCACCTCTGTAGGAAGGAAAGGAGGAAGACAAAGAGAAATACCACTGGGAGTTTGTGCCTGGCCACCTCAAAAGGTATAAGATGGCTCCAAACAAAAATGGGGACTATTCTCCAAATCCCAGATATCTAAGAAGCCACAGAGCAGTTTTAGAATTCCAGAGAAATGTAAGTTTATTCCAGAAACTCTCTGAAGTGCCAAAAAGAACTGAGATCTCAGGAATTTACCCAGACTATGTGGAACTGCTGTGGGCCTCTCTGAGTGTTGTGGTCCCCATAGGCACTTAGCTCACGGGTGATCCCAGGTATGGCAAAACCACCCTGGGCTGACCTCAGTCCCCGGGGCATCTCTAGCTCTTGACTGAGCTAGAACTTGAGGACTTGAGAACACAAGCCAGGGACTTTGTCACATTGTGGTAACCATCCTGTTCTTTCTTGTCTAAACTGTCATCTAAAAAAAAGGTAAGTGTGTGTGTGACTTGGGCAGAGGCAGAGGAGATGCCCTTACAGGTTCTCTCTAGGTCAATGGACAAAGAGAAAGGCCAGAGATTATTCTCCAAGTAACAAAGTAGTATATTTGTTTGCTTTAAAATAACTATCTTTCTCTAAATCTAATGTTAACCTGAGCCAAAATTGCCTCCCTTCATTCACTCCAGATGTATTTATTGAGTGCTCGTTAGATGCCAGATGCTTTTCTGGACTTGGGACACACCACTGAACATTACAAACATCAGATCCCTCCAAGATGATCCGGGCCATCTGCCGGTGGTGACCACAGGCCTGTCCATGTTCCCTGTTGGTGACACCCTTTTGAATATAAGACAGTCATACTCAGTGAACAGTATAAGACATCATGAAGGAGGAGCTGGGTGAAATCAGGGAAAGAATTTGAATATTAAGTCTTTATTGGTGCCATGCTTTCCCATGTAAATATCTCATTGAGAAGCTGCCTGCCCATGTGGCTAAGCCCACAGGGGCACAGGTTACTACCAGCCCTTCTGTAAGCCTTCATGTGAGCCTACATGCATGTTTTTCAAGTCATCACCTCTCCTCTACCCACTCCTCTCCAAAATAAAAAAAGCAGAGGGCCTATTTCTTCCTTATTATTGTGCCTTTTCATGCTGCTTCTCACATCTGGCTTCTGCCATAACTGGCAGCAGAAGTGCTGACCTATCATGAGAAAGACTTTCTGGGACACGTGGCTTGTGCAGCAGCAGCCACAGCAGCAGAAGTACAGGAAATCTCATGAGACGGTCTGTTCTTGAACCCTTGCCAGCCTTCTCCCGCGGACTCATGAGATAAAGAGAAGCATCCAAGTTGCAAGGGAGGTAATTGGAATAGAGTCCCAGTTTTCAGCTCTTTGAGGGTCGCCCATAACCAGCAGGAAGACCACTGGGCACAACTGTTAGGCTTCACCATAGCCTGTAACCATGGTGTTATATGTTGAGATACTTTCTGTTGTAATGGTTCCAGGAACCCAGGGAGCCCAGCAGTTAATACCATCAGTAAAGGGCATCAAGTAAGGCCTTCTTTGCACGAGCTATAACGTGTTGGCTCGTGGAAACTCTGCTGCAGAGTCCAGGGAAGTCATGGGAAAGGGGAGGGACAGTGGACTGTTGTTTTGTGAGACAACGAGGTAGCTGCTTCTAAGGAGGTAAGGGAGCAGCCTGACTTCTGTGGGGGACTCAAGATGAGTCTTGTACAATTGGACAGTTTAGCTAACTAATCACATACAAATACGAGCTCTGGGATGAAGATACTGGCCCCAAGCCAGCAGACTTCTGAACGTTTCATTGCTTATAATTAAGAGGGCAGGGGGAGAAAGAAAGAGAGAAAGAATGAGAGAGAAAGGCAAGAAAGAGAGCGAGAGAGAGAGAGAGAAGAAAGAAAGAAAGAGAAAGAAGGGAGGGAGGGAGGGAACTAAAGAAAGAACTTTCTCTGCCACATCTTCCGCAAGTGTCCTTTCCAGATACAGCAAGCTCCATTCTGAGAAAGGGCTGGGCCTCTCCGCCAGTGTTTACCAAGAGTGCTGTGCTCACCAGGCAGGGACACTGGCCCCGGGCCGAATGCTCTGAGCCGCCTAGTCCTCCCAGGCACATGTCCAGCTACAGCACCCTTCCCTTTGTGTTAGGGCACATTTGATCCTTGGGTACATACCTGGAGAGCTGCAAATTACGGGGTGGTTTAATTCTGACTTACATACAACAAAAGCCCTGGGCCAGGCACAGCCCCAGCCTTAGAGAAAGCATCTAATGACCCCAGTGGATGACTTCTTCAGGAACGACTGGTACGTAACCTAAAATGAAGGAAGAATGAGAAGCAGGTTGAAATATGGCCAGAGACCAGAGACCGATCCTGATCAACCATTACTCATCAGTCTAGGATTCCAGAAACTCCCTCTGCCCCTTCTCTTACCTGCAGGGGAACTCCTCCCCAGCCTGAAAACAGAAAGAGCAGAGCTGAAGATGGACCGAGGCTTGGTGGATTACGGCCTAGAATGGGCCTTACCAGTGGGGAGCCTAGGGCTGGGGTCCCCACCCTGTGCTCAGTTGAAGAAAAATCTTGCTCGTCCACCGGGCACACTAATAATGTGCCTCTGGCAGGGGTGAGAAGGTTCCTAGGCTGCTGGTCATTTGTGTGGCAGGTATTACATAACTGAATTACGAAACGCAATTGATGATGTGTTTGCTTAATACGCTTAGTCTTTCTAAAGAAAACACAGATATGGCTACTTTTAAATGGATTTCTATCTCCCTGCTCTCCACCGCACACAGCTAGCTTGCTGCTCTGACCCACTCTGCACATTCTTTTACAATCTACAATCAGGCTGTGAGGGCAAGCATTTCTTTAATAGGCATATAATAGAGGTAATAAAATGAAAGATATATTCAAAACATCCTTTTCCAAAGCCTGGTAATGGTCGGTTTATTTAAGATAAATTTTCTTCTGGGTGGGGGTGGGGGATACAGAGGTTTTATCACGTCTTCTTCTGGGCAAATGCTGTCAGCTTCCCAGTACCACCCCCAACCCCCCAAAACAAAAACATACAGGAAACCTTGTCACTTTGGTTGCTTACAGACCAACCAGATACGTTTTCTTATCAGCATCTATTAACCCTAGGGCTGTTGTCAAAAGTTGCATTTTTTTGGTTTTGTTTAAGGTTATACCTTTGGTATAACTATCAAGGTTATACCATAATTATAAAAAGTTTGGGATAAAATTAAAAATTCCAAGTCTCTGCCCACGGCCAACCCATTTCTAAAAAAATCCAAAGTAACAATATTTCTGCCATAAGAACGCTGGCAATGTGTAGGTCTTTCACCTGCCTTCTCTGATCCTTCTGACTGAATGACGTAAGTTGGCACCATTTTATCACCCTCACCACACACCATGGAGATGTGTCACCAGATCCCCCACTGAAGGAGGACCCAGCTGAGGGTGTGCCGTTGGCCCGCAGACAGCACTTCCCTGTGGGCTCCCTCAGGGCTGCCTCAGCGGCTAGGCCTCCTCCTGAGGGGGCACTGAGTGAGGAGGGGTGGAAAGGCCCAGCGTTGCAGCCCACTGCAGGGTGACTATGATGGGCAACCTGCGCCTCCCACCTGCCCACTGGGGCAGCCTGGGCTCTGTCAGACCTGCGCTGCAGTTTGATTTCTTCCCCTGCCTCTGCCTCCCATCCTTTCACAGGTGTTGGCCCCTAAAAAATATCTGCTTCCCAAACACCAGCTCAACACCTTCCAGAGAACCCAGCCCATGAGTGTGGGTGCCAAAACCCAAGGGGTGAAATGGGGCCTTGGGACTGGACCACTCTGCTCTGGTGGCAAAGGGGCTCCAGTCACTGGTGGTAAGTGGAGCACAGGCAGACCCTGTGTGAAGTGGGGCTTCAGTTGTCAAACTTTCACTTCTGGGAACTGGTGGGTGGGAGGGGGTGTGGGTGGAGGGGAGCACACTAGCCTGTGAGATACTATGGGGTTTGCGGTGGGTGGCGGGAAGGATGATGGCGGTGGATGCTATAACCACGCACCATGGATGTGCTGCATGAAGATGATGAACAGCTCCTGAAGAGTAACAGGCAACTGGAAGCCAGGTGCAGAAGCCAGAGCACCTCTTCGGCTGATGCAAAGAAACTTCTGTGCCCTGCAGAGGAGGACTGGAGAAAGCCAAGGGCCAAGCTCATGACTTAAGAGGCACTGAGTTTGAAAGATAATTAAATGCCCAACCAAGGCAGATCTGTTGTGCCAAGTTCAGAGCGCTGGCTGGAAAAACCTGGGGCCCTGGGACCTTGCATGGAGACATTTGGGTGGATTTACCCACCACAAGACACATGCCTGCCTCCCTCATGGTGTCTAGGTTTGAGCACAGCTGGAAGGGTGGCCAGCCTGATGAGGGAGACAGAGCCTATACCTCAAAGGGGCTGGAAGAACTGGACAGAATATACTGGCGGGAGCCAGGGGACCAACATATAATTAAATCTGAGGGTGTTTGCCCAAGGGAGCTAAAACAAATACACGGACAGGGAAGGGTTTATGGATTTGGCAGAAATCGTTGGAGATTCAAAACTTAACACCCTGGAAAGGATCCCAAGAAATAGTGTGAACTTGCTAATAGGACGACTCTCAGAATCATAAAACCAGTGGTGGTCTACAACTAAGGAAGTTGAAATGGCAGAACTGTAATGGTGCATATTGGGGGAAGGGATCAAAAGGCTATGGGAACAGTCATGTGGCAGTGACTGTACTAGGCTTAGCCGGATGAGCCACCTAATGCTTATGTCCTGCAGGAGTGCTCAAAGGAAACACACCGTTCATCAAGGCCACAGAACGTGCTAGGGGAAAGCTAAACAGCCGCTCTCCTCCATAGGCCAAGGCTGCTGGGAGTGGAACCTGTGACAGCCATGGTTTGCTTATAGCAAGAGGGACGATGGGACCCTGAAATAATAAAGGCCAGGAGACAGCACTTAACTGCCCAAGTCAAGAGGTTGTAATTATTGAAAAGACTAGCAAGGTCAGAGTGGCAGCCAAGGAGGCTTGATCCACAGAGAACTGTGGGGACAGTTAATAGGACATGGGGTTCCTAGGACACAGTAGAGGGGAAGTTGATGAGGGTATTGCTTAGCTTGGATCAGCAGAAAAAAAATCACGGGATGACTGGGAGATGAAGCATACATGAGAGGATATGGGGGGTCATCCCAATGCTAAGTCACCCTTCCTTGCACAATCCCTAGACAGGAGCCAGTTTACAGACCTGGAACACACTGTCTGATGAGGTGGTTGGGTCTCCAGGCAGCAACCTACAACACCATGACAAGTGAGCAGGGCATTTCTCTAGTCCTTTCCTAAAGGATCTATGGTTATTTATTTGGGTAGCTATATACTAGGTAAAGGAAAAGATCAGACATTTTGAGGACTGGGGTGCAGGGTCTGAACTGACAGTGCTATCCAGAGATCTGAAGTCTAATCACAGCCCTCCTGGAGGGTGAATAAAGGCCAGATGTAAATGGAGTCCCAGTGAAGTTCTGCTCACAGCTGGCGCACTGGGTGTGCGGGCTCACCTGGCTGTCACTTCCATCCTGCATGTATAATTGGGACTGACATATTTGGTCCAAGTCCCACATTGGGTCCTTAGTTTATGAGGTAAGAGTTACAGTGGAGAAAGCCTCATGGAAGCTTCTGAAACTGCCCTTGCCGGGGATAATAAATTAAAAAGACATTGTTACATCCCAGGGGGAGATGATAGAGATTAGTGTCATCCTTCAATATCAAAAAGATTCAGGAGTGGTGGTTTCTATCTTGTTTCTATTGATTCACCAGTCTGCTCTCTGCAAAACCAGATGAATCTGGGAGTATAACTGTAGATCAGTGCAAATTCAGATAAATAGTAGCCAGATTGCAGTTGATTCAGATTAGGAATTTTGGCCAGAATAGGCTAATGTGGCTAATGTTATGAGCCTCAGGCCCATTGATTGGGTGAATGCATTTTCTATCCCAGTTGAAAAAGAGGATCAGAAGCAGTTTACATTTTGTCCCAGAGCTGTGTTCACTCTCCTGTCTTCTGTCTTAATAAAATCCAAAGAGAGCCAGACTCCCTAGACATTCCACAGTGTATCACAATGATCCAAGATATTGATGATATTATGTTAACCAGGCCAGATTAACACAAGAGACGGCTAGTTTGTCAGAGGCCTTGGTAAGGCACACGTGCCCCACAGGGTGGGAAACAAATCCTAGATTCAGCGGCCTACAACTTCTATATAATTTTGGGGGTCTAGTGCTAGAGTGTGCTTGGAAATGCTCTTTAAAAGAAAATACAAAAAAAAAAAAGCCAGTGGATCTTTTCTGGTTCTGGAAGCAGCTTATTCCAGTGCTAGGAATGGATGGAAGGAAGGCTACCAGATTTGAGCGAGGCTCAGACCAGGCAAATGCTGTGCAGCAGGTTCAGGCTGCAGGGCAAGGATCCCCGCCGCTTGGACCACATGATGCAGCAGAACCTACAGTGTCAGAAGCACCATGGTAAGGAAGGAAGCCATGTGGAATTTGTGGAAAGCCCTAGAAGAGTCACGTGGAGCAAAGCCATGCAATTCACCACAGATGAATTACATACTTTTAGAAAAACAACTCTGTGTATGGTTCTGGGCCCAGAGAGAAACTGAATGCCTGAACGAGTGACACCAAGTGACCATGAGTCCAGAGCTGCTCATCTTGAGCTGGATCCTGTCATATCCATCAATTCATAAGATCAGGTGGGCCTGGCAATAATTCATTATAAAATTAAAGTGGGGCATCTGGGACTGAGCATGAGCAGGTTAGAGGGCACAAGCAGGCTGCACAGCAGAGAGCTCAGACCCCACGATTGCCCGCCACTGTGGTCTCAGCGGCCCCCTCAGCTCATACCCATGGCTGTATGCATGATTCTTAACCAGCTGAAGGAGGACCCATAAGTACAGCTTGCTCTGTGGATAGATATGTACTTGCGTGCAAGTTGAATGTTGATGACATGCACTGTACTCTCATTCAGGACTGGCCTTGGAAAGGAAGGGGCACGAGGCAATCCTCCCAATGAGCAGAGCTTTGAGCAGTGCACAGGGTCACCACACTGTGGAAAGAGCAGCAGCCTGAGGTGAGGATACATGTGGACTCGTATACTGGATTATATTCTCACAGGAATGATTCGTGATGCCCTCAGGGGGACATGCGACTTCCCATGGGGGTGTCTGTCTTTGTCTTGGGACTGACCTGCCTTCTCCCTGAGGCCCTCACTAAACTCACGTCCCTCATAGGTTTAGGAGGCCACTCGTTCCTTTCAGGGACTTGATGGTCCAAAATGGCAGAGTACAAAGCACCGACAGAGAACCTGTCAAAACCAAACAGCTCCTGAAACCTTATCTGCAGCTTTGAGCTAGGGCCCCTTCTGGCACAGACTTCTGAGGAGCCTGAACAAGTCCATGTGGTTTTCTGTACCAGGATTAGCTAAGAATAATACAGATCTAATGTAAACATACTCAGGCATATGTGGAAAATACACTTAAATTGGCACTGATAGCAGTCTGTTCAAGCTTGGGGGCAGGGGGAAGGGTAGAAGGAGATTCCTCAAAGCCACTTGATTGGTGTTATAACTTAAATATTTCAGATTGCAATTCATCCATAGTCAGGGAAGAATGAAAATCAGTGCTGAGATCTTCAAGAAACCAACAAGTGCCATTTCTTCATCATGGAAAGAAAGAGTGGCCTAGAGAAGTTTGCCCCTTTTCCTCTTCTGGTTTTGCAGTGACCTCAGAATCCCCAAGCCACCAGGAAAATACAGTCAAGAAGGGCCAAGGAACCAGA